ATTTTAAACTGTATAAAAAAAATTGAAATCAATTGTGAAAATCCATTCCTTATATAGGACGGTCTCTCCTGTTTATATATAGAGATTGGACCCGGTTAGCCGGGTTATGAAAATTACCACCGGGTGGAGAAAAATGAATGTAACACAATGGGATGTCTGATTTATAATTCAATTTTTTTTTACGTTTCATATGTATTATCAACATTTTAATACGGATTACCCAATCTCTTATAAATAATGTAGTTATCTTGTTACATATTAATATATACTAATGAATTATTTTTGTTTTTTAAAAGAATATTGAATGTGGATTTTGCATAATGTCACAATAACATTTAACATGATCAACATTTTTATTTTTTTATATTATGTATTATTACGGATTATCTTATGTTTGATTTATAATTCATTTTTTATATTTATCATATGTATTTTTAATACAGATTATCCAACCTCTTATAAATAATAATTTAGTCAACAGTATTGTCAGTACATAATATATTAATGTTTTTGAAAAAGAGCATTGAATGCGAATTTCCATATAATACCACAATGACGTTTAACATTACATCTGATTTATAATTCATTTTTATAAATAATAATTCAACCAACAATATTGTTAGAGTTATCTTGGCAATGATACTATTGATTCATCATTTCTTTTGTTAATTAATTGTTTGAATTCTTTTCATGTAATCATAATATATACTTGATTTACTGATTTGGCATTTGAAAGTAATATATAAATAAGTTGTAATATTTTAATAAATTAAAAAAAATAAAATTTTTTCTCATTTATCATACTATGGGTGATAATACTGAATATTACGAACTAGATTCTGATATTGATACCATTCTTGATACATCAGAGACTATTGAGGAAGTTGTTGAGGAAGTTGTTGAGACACCTGAGAAAAAATTTCGAGTAAATTTTCAGCATCAACATAATTTTAAATCCAAAAAAAAAAGTTTTGTTTGGAGTTATTTCCAAGAAGAAAATGGGAATGATGTATGCAAAATACTTATCTCAGTAAATGGTAAGGAAACCACATGTAAAAGTTACAAACATGATGGTTCAACTGGTAATATGAAACAACACCTTCAAATGAAACATGGAATATTGGAATCGGAGGAACTCCATACTGGTTTAGAAAAATATGCTCAACCAAAAATTGATAATATTTTCAAAAAAGTTATTCCACATAGTTCGTCCAAGCAAAAAGAATTGAAAAAAATTACAGCTGAGTGGTTGATTACTGATTCATTACCTTTTAATGTTGTAAATAAAAAAGGATATTTAAAAATGATGAAAACAATTGATCCTGCTTTCAATCCACCTTCCAGTAAAAGCATAAAAAATAGTCTTGCTGTTGCATATAACAAAGGCGTTTTACAATTAAAGGAATTGCTTTCAAGAACCTGTGAAACTGCTTCTATAACAACTGACTTATGGACATCTCGAAGTAATGATGGATATATTGGTGTGACTCTTCATTGGTTATCACCAGATTTTGAAGTATATGATGCAATATTGGCTGTTGAAAAAACAGAATATCCACATACAGGTGAACGTATTAAAGAATACCTAAATGCAAAAGTTGAAGAATTTGAATTATCTGGTAAAATAGTTTGTGCAATTACTGATAATGGTAAAAATATGAAAAAAGCAATTAGAATTTGGGATGTTGTAGAACATATATCATGTTCTGCACATACTCTTCAACTTACAGTTTTTCATATTAAACCATATACAAAAAGAATCAGAAAGCTTGTCAAGTTTTTCAAATCTTCAAAACAAAGTCAACGACTAGACCAAGCACAAATTGACTTAGCTCAACGAAATAATGTTACTGCTGCACCTGTTCAGTTGCATGGTTCTCAAAATTTAATTGAATTAGAAATAGAAGAAAATAATAAGTCAGAAAATGTAGACATGGAATTTAAAGTCCTACGTACTATAAATGAAGTAAAAACAAGATGGAATTCATCTTTTTTATCTTGGCAAAGGCTTCTTAAATTACGCACAGCAATTGAATGGCTTTCCTCAACTTTACATTTACTAGAAGATGCTGGTGCAAAGGAAGATTCTCGAAAACTAAATAATTATAAACTCAATGAAAATGAATGGGAATTATTAGAAGGATTAGTTATGTTGTTTAAGCCTTTTGATGAACTAACAACTTGCTTCAGTGGAATTAAATACACTACTCTTTCAGTTGTTAATCCAAGTATAGAGACATTAAAATTTGAGTTTGCTGATGGTGATTTGTTGGACTCGCATGAGCTGAACAAAATATTTAATGATAATGAAACTGAAAATCTTGGTTTTGATGAAGGTAATTATTTTTCAATTAAACCTTTTTTTCTTAATTAAAAATTAATTTTTACCTTTTTCATATTTTAGATGAAATTTCATCTGATGATGAAAGCTCTGGAGATGACTCAAGAAACATAAAACAATTAAAAGCTCCATCTTCTCAACAAATAATTTCTAAAGTTAAGGGAATCATTTATAGCTCGCTCTGGAATTATTGGAGTGATTCAGAAAAGATTGGGCTAATGGCTACTTTATTAGACCCAAGATTGAAATTAATGGAAGTATGGTCAAATGAAACAAGAGAAGAAGCAATCAAAGAACTACGTACTGAATTCAATACTTGGCAAATCAAAGTTGCAAATGATGATTCTTTAGAAGAAATCCCTTCTTCATCCACACCTTCCTTTATGAAAAAAGTATTTTGTCATAGCCAAAGAAAAGTGAACCATGAGATTGAAATAGATAATTATTTAAACGAAATGATAACTCCAACACAACCTGAAAGAATTGATGTTTATCAATGGTGGAATAACAATCAAAATTCTTTTCCTATTCTTAGTAGAATTGCACGCAAATATTTATCAATACCCGCCACTTCTGTTCCATGTGAATGTCTTTTTTCTGATGCAGGGAATTTAGTTACCTCTAAAAGAACACGTTTAGGACATGAAGTAGTAAATCAGTTATTATTTGTAAAGAGAAATAGTTTATATTGTAAAGTTTGGAATTAATAAAAAATAAAATTATTTTTTATCATTTATGTAAATTAAATCCATATATAGAAAGATCTGTTCACTACCCGGTTGACCCGTCGGGTAAACCCGCGGGTCACCCGGGTGAAGTTTTTTTAGACGGGTCTAATCTCTAGCTTTGACCAAAAACTTTTAATTTATTGTGAGATAAAAATCCATGTCTCACAGTAAATCTCAATATTTTATTTATTTGTGTTAATACAATTTCTTCCAATTTATTTATACTAAATGCATATTTATGCTTTATTCTCAAAACTTATCTAAACAATGTATCTTCTTTAGATTTCACACTATATATCCTGATAACATTTCTTGATGGGTGCCCTTCTAGCTGTTTTCCTCTTTACTACCAAGTCATGTACATTTCCCAAAATTATTAAATAAAACTCATTAAATATTACCTCACTAAAAGAAAAGAAAAGAAAAGAAATAGAATATATAAAAAATATAATCTGATGAACCAAGGCTAAAGTATAAAAGAGTAAAGTTCAATGTACCAAAGCAAATATTAAATATATTTTAAGATGTGCCAACTCAGGCAGATAACAAAGGACTGCTGAGAAAATGTTATTGGAAGGGGGAAATCAAAATTATCACTGAGAATTAATAGACAAAGAGCTATTAATAATATTGATTAGAAAAGCAATTGCATTTGTGATATTAAATTTGGGAGAGCATGTTTTAATTGGTGATAACAATTATTTTTGTTTTGTGTGGATCAGAATGAATAGGGGATCAATGAATTGATTTTGTTATTAGTGAATAATTTTGGGTAAAGAAGATAAAAGTTTTTAAATAAAATATTACTATTTTATTTATTTAGTTTTTCTTAGTCAAAACTAATTAACTTATGAGAAAAGTTATACAATTCAATTAATTAATTAGTAATTCTAATATCCAAAATTGAGATATTCTCTCAATATTGAGAAGTTATCCCAAAATTGAGATGATATCTCAAAATTGAGAGGATATCTCAAAATTGAGAGGATATACCATAATTTGTGAAGATATCCCAAGATGATTCTTTCTTAAATAAGTTAACTAGAAGAATGCTTTATGACAAGTGACTTTGTCACTCATGAAAATTTTTTTATTAATTAAAAACAAGTAGTTGTGGTTGCTGTAAGTCTGGATTCTTTGGAATGAAATAAATAAAATTTGTTTTTTTGTTGACAAGTTTTTCTCTCTATCTCTACCAAAAATGTCATTTGTAACAAATTTCATACTTGTTCCTTCATTTGTTTGTGACATTAATATCATCTGAAACATAGCCAATGGTAGTAACTGAAAAAGTGTCTTGAGGTATTTGTTCAAATTTGACATCAAGCAGACATGCTTTAATGATGGTTATCTAAAATTATTATATCATATGTTAAAAAATAATTGGCATTTTAGTATTTCAGTTTTTAAATATTAATGAATCAAAATTATAAAAATTACAAAATTACATAAATGATTCCATTCCCAATATAAAACTTGGAACTTGTAACTAAGAAACTTCATTTCCATAGATAATTTCTGGAACATATTTGGTGGTTTCTTCAGAATTTGGCTGAAAGACTATATTCCAAATAAAAAAACTCTTCTAGTTCTCACCTTTCCTTTTGCTTCACCTGATACAATTTTATATTTGTCAGTGAATTTTTCTTTAAAGTTGTTAATAATAATAATACCAGTTAATTGATTAGGCATTTTTAAAAACTGTTTTTTTCGTTATTGAATTTTTTTACCAACTTTATGAGCATGGGTAATTTTTTTTTTTAAAAAAAAAAATAGAAGCCATTTATTAATACTAAAAAAGTAAATTAAAAAATAATGTCTAACAAACACCAATAAATTTTTTTTGACTGATATTAGATTAGTACTAATGTTACCAGAATCAGATTCTGACAAAGATATTTTGGATGAATCTCGTAATTCTGGGTCAAATTAATTCTATTTCTATTTTTATTTATTATTTATTTAACGTAAGAAAAAATGAAACTAAAATGGTACAACAAAATTATCCGTTTCAGGAATGATCATTGATTTTTTTAAAATAAAAAAAGTAATATAATGAATAAATAACACCATATGCGAATGATTTCTGGGTAGGTTACACCTTTATCCCTGTGTTCAGAGGGATACAGCTTTAGCCTGGCGAGGGATAAATATAAATACACAGATATATCTCTGATCACCTGGTCCATAGATCTTGAGTGAATTATCCGACCAATATCCAAAGATCGATAAGATTGATAAGGGGGGATATCCCTCTTATATGATTTCCCAGGCTGAGGCTTTATCCCTATGAACTGAGGGATAAAGATGTAACCTTTCGGAAATTGTCCACATGGACTGATAAATAAATGGAATTTAGCTTACAAAAAAGGATTTTACTGTTTTACAAAATTGAAAGTGTTGTATAGAAGTACTTAATTTAATAAATATTAAATATTAAATATTAAGCAGCTTAAAACAATGTTTTTTATAAACATAATTTTTTGGGAAGCATGGAATTAAAAAAACAAGGTTGATGTTATTGAAAATGATTTTTTCTTGTGCTTGCCAATTGTTGTCAAAATGATCTTTGTCTTCGGGAAGCAAATTATTTTTTAAATTTACTAATTACTTATATTTAATATCATATGATAAAGTTTTTTTTTTCACACATAAATTGAAATTTTTACATTTCTAGTGAATCCATATATATATCAATTGAGTAATCATTTTCAAATATAAATTTTATGTTTCTTAATGAATCCATATATATATCAATTGACAAATCATTTTTAAATGGTCAATGAATCCATATTATATATCAATTGAGAAGTATATAAAGGTTTTAAAAAAACAAATATTGAAAAAATTATCCTGCTCTTTTTAATTCATTTTCTATTTTGTTCATGATTTTGTTCAACAAAATCTTTAATTTTTCCTCACTTATTTCTACTTAGCAACTTGGTTTTTGTTAAAAATAAAAAAAAAATGTGCTCAATATTTATTTCATTCATTTTTATTAAAAATGTATCCATCAACAGTAAAACAATTGATGGTTCTGCCATTTATAGAGATGTTGAAAATAATAATTATAATGAAATTTTATTTAAAGGTTACCTTGGAGGGTCAGAGCCTCTAATAATTGAGTTTAACAAAAATTGTATTTTGCAAGTAACTGGACAAATAGTCATAGAAAATGGAACAGAATATGTATTCATATTTAAATATCTATTATCTCTTAAACAGTCAGAGTATATTTTAATGGTAACACAAATCAAGGTTTTGATCATTCTTATTGGTCAATTTAACGATCAGCAAAGTAAAAAACCGTCAATCAACCAACTTTTAAAGTTTTTACAAAAACCATAAGGACAACAACTGGATTTTTATTTATAGATTAATCGGCTGAATCTCAAAGATCATTTCATATTAGAAAGTGATGTCCTCAGAAAAAATTTTTTATATCAGAAAAATTTATCAGCTATCAATAGTTGATTAACCATTTAGGGGATAGTGCTGTAATTACTGTAGCAAAAACATCAATTATTATTTTGTTATAAACAGCTGAACTTTATACAAACAATTTTAATTGAAGAAGATTTGAATAAAACAGAACTACCAGAAGCTTCTCCATTGATTGTTGTGTCTGCTCCCTATGTTGAAAATCCATATAAAAAAATTGAAGATATTGATTGTGAGTCATTCTACCTTGCAAGGAATTTTTTTAATAGTGTCACAGGAAATAAAATAATTAATTCAAATGTACTGGTATCATACACAAACATATCTACATGGTACTTATTTAATTGTAAATAAAAAAGAAAAATTTTTTTTTTTACTAAATGATCTTTTTTTTAGATTCCAAAGGATAAAAGACCACTTAAAAAATACAATATTAATGGCAGTTGGAAAAAAAATTACTAGTACAAGAAAGATAATCCATTTGCATGCAAGCAAAATAGAGTTTAATTACTCAATCAATAAAACCAATGCAGAGGAAAATGAAGAAAAAAAAATTAATAATATATATGTGAGGATAGAAAGTTTGTATTCGGAAAGTTCAAAAACAAAAAAAAAGTAGAACCAAGAAAAAAGACCATGATTCTATTGAAGAAGCTCAAGCATCCTCGAATAAAAAATTTGCTGAAGCAATTAATATAATTACTAACAATGATGATAATAACAATGATGATAATAACAATGATGATAATAACAATGATGATAATAACATTGATCTTGAAAAAGAAAAAGAAAAAAAAAAGGGAAGGAAAAAGAAAAGATAGAAGATTTGACAAAAGATGAGGAGGAACAAACTCAAAATGATCATGATGCATAAATAACTTTTTTTAAATTTTATTTATTTATTTATTTATTTATTTATTTATTTAATTTATTTATTTATTTATTTATTTGTTATATATATGTGTATATTAACATCAAATAGAATATAAAAATTCTGTCCTTTTTATTCCTTTGTAAATTTTCCATAATAATAATTTTTCTATAGATTAGATACATTTCTGGAAAAAATATGTAAATTATAAGCATTAACTAGAAAATTAATTATAAATTAATTAACATAATCCAAAATTCATATTTTTTTTAAATAAATAAAAATAAAATTTACAATGTCTAATTATAACATTCAACATTATCAATTTTTCAATTCTACATCAGATGAATATGAAAATTCTGAAAATCCCACAGAAAACACTCATGATGATATCAATATTTTTCAATCCTATATTCATCGAAATGAAATAAATCAAAATTTACCAAATAATCCTAGATTTAATACTCAGTTAGATGTAACCCATTCTTTTCCTATGAATCCAAATCTTAATTTGCCATGGTCTCCACCACTTGATTTACACCATCTCTTGCAAGAATTTGAAACAAAATCTTATTTGAATATCCAAATATTCCTTGTGCTCACTGTTCAATCCTAATGATGAAATAAAATACTAAATGGATACACTATGATGAAAATGAAATATATAATTTAACATTAATGTTTCCTAATATTGATCCATTTGTAAAAGAAAACAATAAAAACATAAAACAAGTTGCTGTTTGTAATGGATGTAAAAATGAGAAAAATAGAAGATATTCTCCAATTCTAGTATCTATTCCTCCCAAGATTCAAAATGTTCCCATGTTACATCATAAATACCTTTCATCTGTACATATGAATTGCTCATTGGGTCACTCAACTGGATCTAATAATTATACAAATTATGTTCACCTGGAAGGACAAATCAATATTACACATAATTATCATGCTTTAGAATTATATTCTGGAATAAGTGGAGCTTTTCTGAATGCCAATGAACCATCAATGTGGTATCATGAAACTTTAATTCCTGCCTCAAATTGGCTTAAACTAAATAACAAACTTATTAAAAAATATGCAACCAATATTGCATGTCCTTTACCAGATGATGCTATACCATGTGTCATCTCATACATATAGAAGCACTTTACCTAATGAGGTTCCAAAACCATATGATTTAGTTGTTCCAAATGATTCATTTCCAACAGATATACATGATGAAGATGCAAACTACAGCCATCTGATGGCAGGTTCAATATTAAAAGACAATGTTTCCTATCCAATATTATTTGGTGATCCAAATCTGGAAGCTCTCATGTTTCCTGACATATTTCCAAATGGATGTGGCTATACATGCAGCCCAAAGTATTTTGACAATGTCATAAAGGTGGTTACACATGTAGTAAAGGGGTGTTACACTTATGTTTGTAATAGTGAACTAGGTGTAACCCATCAGCTTTGCTGACGGTTTACATCTAGAGCACGCTATAAATAATATTGTAAATTATTTTTTTATTCAAAATTATTTAATACTGTAAATTCATAGCATTAATAAGTTTGGTTGCATTTATTACAATTATGTATAGATTTAAAAAAATAACAGTTTTGATTGACATAATTTTGTTAAAATTTGATTTCATGACTACAAAATGTCACATTATCAAAGTTAGAGAATAATCAAAAACTAATTATTTTATTGTGGAATTTTTGCATCACAACATATTTATTTGCGTTATTGAACAATTCAAAAAAATTATTTATGTGTGCAGCCTAAACATTACGTTTATTTATGCGTGCGTGCCATTCTAAACATTAGGACACGTGAACGCAACGTTTTTAATATAATAGATGCCATAATTAATTTCTACTTTCTACCATCAAAATTGGAATAATTTTGACCATCAAAATCACCAAATCAATTTGGGCTGCATGTATAGATGTGGCCACTATGAAGATGTGAAAAAAATATTAAATTTTGAACCATCCAAAGATAGCTATGGAAAATATATTAAGATAAGAATGCTATGCCCTGATGATCGATTCCGTTCACACTATTACTGGCCAAGTTGGTCTTACCTGAACCTTGAAAAGAAACGAAACTTTCAAAATAGAAATAGAATATTATCTACTAAAAATATTAACAGAGGAGCATCACCCAACACAAGTTGACCTTTTTACAAAAGCTCATATAATAATTGGAATATTTTAGATGAACCAAAAACCACTACATTGCCATCAAATTTAAGAACAGCAACCCCTTTCTTCAAAAAAAAAACAGCATCAAGTTAATACAATGATTAATGCTTATGTGCTGCCTCAAATTTTCTATACTTTAACAATGGGTGAAAATAAATGGCCACATTTAAATCAAATTCTGAAAAATTCTGATAGTGGTGACACTATCCCTAGCAATTGTCCTTTGCACACTTATCTACATTATCAACACAGATTGACCAATGTTCATAATAAATTGTGGAAAAATCCAAACTTAGTTCAGTGGGGAAAATGGATGCACTACTTTGAACATGATGAATTTCAAAACCATGGATCTATTCACACTCATGGATTTGCTTATACCGAAAAAAAAGTCCCTGAATTAATCTTATTAAATAGCATTTGAGCTGATCTTCCAGACCCAAATACTGAAACTGAATTATTTAACTTGGTTACAATGTTTCAGATTCATCACTTGATCAAAGGTGCAGACCAGAAGGCTATGAGAACAAGCAATGTTCTAAGGGATTCCCCCAACCTTTATCTAAAACAACACATTGTTCACCAAATTTATTATGTTATATTTACCAAAGAACAAAACCTGAAGACAGAATGGTTGTTCCATATCACCCAGAGACTTTGTTGTTTTGGAAAGCCCATATTAACTTTCAGTATGTCACTTCTACTGGATTTGCCAAATATATTACAAAATATGTAACCAAATCAGAACCTTCTGAATTGTTTGACATTGATGAAAAGGATGATACTTGGATAGTTAATAGTACGAATAAAAATTAGCCCACACCACATTTTATAAAGCTTTGAGTCTTACAAGTAAGGATCAAAAAAGCTTTGTAATTTCATTAAAAGACTTCTGTGTATATACTTTGCATTTAGCTATTTTGATTTTTAATAGAATTGTTTTTTTACTTGCCATAAAGCCTACTGAAGTAAAACTAAGGGGGGGGGGGGAGAGGGAAAAATTGGACATCACGGATATCACAAACACTAATACTAAGAAAAAGAAGCAAAATCCTATTCAATATGAAAATTCAAAAGAAATAATGACCAATACTACTTTCAAAAAATTCAATACCATCTCAAAAAAATCCGATGTTGAACCTACCAATGATGTAACTGTCTTAAAAGAAACACCAATAAGTTTCTTTAAGCCATTATCAAGCTATTCATTTTTAAATGCAAATGAGGCGATCCTACAAGCAGTTACTGAACTTTTGTTACCAAACAACAGGATTCCAGAGTTATGCTTATTGATTGATAATACTAAATCCAGAGGAGACAGTAGATTTGGATACCATCAGGAAATTTTTTCTGATGTGGATTTACACTATTTATGTAAGTTTATGGCAGGCCCTGTAATATTATGCAAATATTAAAACTTTACATTTTAAAATTTATGGACATAATATTATGGCAGGGAAAGTTTCCTGATGACATAGAGCTTATTTTTGGGGATGTTGTATGTGAAATTGAAATTATGTGAATTTGAAATATTATGAAGTGGGGTGAAATCCTGATTGGCTAATTTGAATTTCACGCATGTAAATTTGAATTTCACATATGTGAATTGCGAATTCACATAATTTCATTTTCACATACAACAGGGATATAAACTATTCAATCATTGAACTAAAGTATGTCAATAACTTAAGTTTAATAAGAGCAATAAAAAATGATTGGAATATATCCCCAAGTATGAGTGATCTAGCAGATTTTGACAAATACATTGAGAATGAAGATGAAAGCAAACTATTGGAAAGGAATTTGATGTTTTGGTCTAAAGAGTACAGCAAACCAAAGGTCACGATATTAAATAAGATTTTGTCATCTGCAGAAGAACAAGTTATGAGGTATATGAACATAATTGCACATGGATCGGCACATGAAGGCAAACCGGGTATTATTGATTCTTGAGTTCTCGTAAAACAGCCATCTAATTATTATGGTGTTTTGAACAGTTATGTTATTATAGTGATTGGGTTCTGACATCTTATTTTTAAGTTTATTGGATCTCAAATACATGTTATAATATTACTAAAAATAACTAGCATCACAGACATTTTATTAGTATTATTATTGTAAACAACAAATATAAATAAACAATAAAGATAAAAAAATAAAAAATAGATCAATATTGTAATAATGAGAATGAGATTATTTTTCTTCTAAGGGTTTCTGCGTTTTGTTAGGTAACAGCACGCCTTCATGCTGCTTTCTTTTTCTAACATTTATTATTTTTCCTTCTTCTTGGTAAATTTCATAAATAATACTTTCTTTTCTTAGATAAGTTTCTAGTGTGAAATTATAAAATTTCTTTATGGTTTGTAATTGACACGTGCCCATAATAATTATTGAATTTCTTGGCATTGTACTCGAGATTTGAAATATTTTATGACCCTTGGTTTCATATCAATAAAATTATGTTATATGTTAGGTGTTATATGTTATATGTTATATGCCCGGTCTACCCCAGGTCTTGTAAAAATTATTATAGTCTATCTTTGCGCAAAATTAAATTCATCGGTTTTACAGGCTCACCGGTAACCTTCAAAAATAAAAATAAAAATTATGTACATATTTACAACTAGACTAAGGCGTCCCTCAGCTAGTAAATATTGGCATATAATTTATGAAAGGGAATGGTTTCGTTAATTAATGTTAAGATTAAAGAGAGTGATTTGTTTATTTAATTATTAAGAATTTATTATTATGTCTTCATTATTATTACATTTCTGAATTATTAATCCTATGAACGATCCATGATTAATCTATTTATCTGAACTAATGATGAACAATCTATGATTCATCTATCTCAAGTTAAGTTTACAACGAAGGGTTTATATACCTTTCGTGGATGTACAAAATCTTCTATGTAAATTATATCTAGGACTAGTTTTCTAATTTAGAATTTCTTCATCAAGACTCTTTATGCCAAGCATTGCTTAACAATCTGAATTAAAAATTCCGAAGGTTGTGTGATTCCTATTCTGTATTTAACAAAATAAACATGATGTAATTCTAACTACCACACAACCTTTAATTGGTATCGAGAATCATATGATACTTGATTAATAAAAATAATTACTAAAAATACGTATGAATCATTTTCATGTGTAGTGGATCACAAAGTGGCAAGAATGTTATATCTATCGAATTAAAATTAGTGAATGATTCTTAATATTGTTCTACTTTACTAAAAATAATTAGGTAATTGAATAATCGGAAAAATAATTTTGTACGATATAAATAATTAAATTTCTAAATGGGAAACTCTTTTCAAAAATGTGAAGTGTAATTTTGGTTTTGATCGTGGTGTACAGATCACGTTATATTCGTGACTTCTAATATTACGTTTCTTGATAATGTAATATGATAATATTACACTAGTGTCTGAGTATCATTTATTTTTGCATCACAACATATTTATTTGCGTTATTGAACAATTCAAAAAAATTATTTATGTGTGCAGCCTAAACATTACGTTTATTTATGCGTGCGTGCCATTCTAAACATTAGGACACGTGAACGCAACGTTTTTAATATAATAGATGCCATAATTAATTTCTACTTTCTACCATCAAAATTGGAATAATTTTGACCATCAAAATCACCAAATCAATTTGGGCTGCATGTATAGATGTGGCCACTATGAAGATGTGAAAAAAATATTAAATTTTGAACCATCCAAAGATAGCTATGGAAAATATATTAAGATAAGAATGCTATGCCCTGATGATCGATTCCATTCACACTATTACTGGCCAAGTTGGTCTTACCCAAACCTTGAAAAGAAACAAAACTTTCAAAATAGAAATAGAATATTATCTATTAAAAATATTAACAGAGAGCATCACCCAACATGAGTTGACCTTATTACAAAAAGCTCATATAATAATTGGAATATTTTGGATGAATCAATTTAAGAACAGCAGCCCCTTTCTTCAAAAAAAAACAGCATCAAGTTAATACAATGATTAATGCAGTGGTATAATTGTAGTCTGTACAGACTACAATTATACCACTTAGTTCGGACTATAAACCACCCAAGAATGACGGCCATTTTGATTTTGCCTCGTCATTCGAATGACGTACGTTTTGCATTTGCCTCGTCAAAGATGGGATGTTTATAGTCTGCTTATCGGATGACGTATGTTTTGCATTTGCCTCGTCAAAGATGGGATGCTTATAGTCTGCTTATCGGATGACATACGTTTTGCGTTTGCCTCGTCAAAGATAAGACGTTTATAGCCTGCTTATCAGATGACGTACGTTTTGCATTTGCCTCGTCAAAGATGAGGCACGTAGTGCCGAATCGTTATCTATTATGTTATCTTAGAATGAGGCACGT